CGCTAAAAATGCTACTTAGATGATCAGCAAATGCCTCCGCTTTTTCTTCGTTGCTTTTTGCCCAAATGAATCCGTTTAGGTTGGTTATTTTCAGAGGAGGGTTTTGTTGTAGGGGTTACTTTTGTTTCTGATTGGTTTCCATATGGAATTATCGTACCTATTTAACTGCAATATACGACCTGAATGTACAATTCTTCCATTCTTTCATTTTTTTCCTCAGCGTGTATTGAGATGATTAAGCGATGTCTTATCCGTTGGTAGATGAGAATGTTGCCAGGTTCGTCTTGCTCTTCGTTTCTGTGCAATTGCAATTAGCTTCTTAATCTTGCGGAATTATTAGATTATCATTTCTTGGATAATGTTCGGGGTGATCTGCTTGGTTGTTTCACGTACAATCTCAGAAAAATAATCTATATATTTTCTATATCAATAACGCTTGTAGGCCTAGATTTTGGAAATAATTTTGAATCAAGTATGGATTTGAATTGAATCCAGTTAGAAAGATTGTTGTGTAGAATATGATTGTTGATAACTGGAGTAGGAAATGTGCTAAACGTCACAAGTATTGGAGAATGATCTGAAGAGAGATCGTAACTAGATTCAATATTGAGATTTGAAAGATCAATACCTTTCACAATAAAAAAATCTAAAAGGTCTGGAACTTTAGTAGGGTCAGAAGGCCAATAAGTTGGACTGCAAGTTGAAATAAAGGAGAGGTTATTTTGCCCTATGGCTGCATGAAGATCTTTCCTTTGGCTGTAGTCAGTCTAGAACCCCAGGCAATATGTTTACAATTAAAGTCACCACCAATGATAAATTTATTACCTAATTGAGAGAAAAATGAGAAGAAAACTGAGCACAAGAAATTTTGAATCTTGGTGGGACAATAAAACAGCAGAAACACAAAAATTATATAAATTTGTTTCAACAGAAATTTGAGTTGCTTGTAGAAAATCATCAGAAATATTTGGTAGAACGAAATGCTTTATATTATTTTTGATTAATATAGCCGAACCGCCGCGAGCCTGCCACCTGCACTTGGGTGATTTGAATATAAGTAGTGTAGTTATAAATTTTAAAGTAGTTTTTTTCAGTGAAGTGAGTTTCTGAGATAATAAGATATCTATTAAGTTTAACTTTAAAAACATTCTACTTCATTTTTGTGAGGTATTAAACCGTTGGCATTCATTCAGCAATTTTAATTATTTTTGCCATTGCTTTGTTGTTGACTAACGTGGATAACAATTTATTATTATGGTTTTCTGTTGCAAAAGCTGATTGAAGATATTTTTAATTCTAAATAAGTGTTGCTAGAGAATCAGAATCGATTTGAAGGTGAATGATTAGAAGCAGAGTAATTGTTTTTTTGCAATGTCTGCATAGGATGAATTTTGAATTGTTGGATTTAAGGCCCGGAGAAATGTTGT